TGATGTTCTACTAAGAAGTGAAACTGTCAGATTAGGATATTAGAGTCCAGCTGTGGCTCTTTTTGTTCCTGGCATTTGTAGGAAAGTGAATCTTATTTTAATAGTACTCATGCACTTGCTACTCAGCAAAATGCAATAGCGTGGTTATATCAAGTGGTTAGTGTGTAGTGGAATATTTTCTGAGCACTACAGGACTAGAGGAACAATTCATTAGCAGAGTGCATCCTAACATACATCAGACCCCAGGTTCTATGTCCACTAACCTAGAGAGGTAAGAGGCATTAAGCACATTTTGTTCAAAATGTGTTTTCACTCTCAGTTTTGGTTTTTAATTTGAATGTTGAAATTCTAGAATTTAAATGATTTGATGTGTGTCCAGATAGTGACAAAATAGAGATTTAAAGCTTGTGCATTTACTCCAAAGTCTGTGTCAGAATATGACTGTGTTAACATTTTGAATTAAAAGTTCTGGAGGAGGGCATGACTTGAGAGTTGGCATTCTGGAGACACACTGAAGGGTGTTTTGTTTATAGGAGAAGACTCGGGAGCAGAAAGAAGTGGACCTGATCCCTAAGGTCCGGGAGGCTGTGAACTATGGGTTACAGGTGCTGGATAGTGCCTTCGAGCAACTTGACATAAAAGCGGGGAACTCGGACTCGGAAGAAGATGATGCCAATGAGCGGGTGGAACTGATCCTTGAACCAAAGGTAAAGGTGTTCAGTTACAATATTATGACTTGACTGCTTTGCCAGGCACAGGATGTGTAAGGCATAGGCATTCCCAGATTGACCCCTCTGAGAGCCTTACTTGACACAGCTTTTCTGTGGTACAAGGTAGGTAAAACAGGTATGCAGAGCATACCTTTTCTTGAAAGGTTTTTAGTATAGTCTGTGGGAAAGGAGGGATTTACCTGAGCAACCATTCTTAGAACCCTGAGACAAAACTGACTTACAGCTGAGAAGGCAAGGTGAAGGATGAGATTTTTAATTGGATTTGGTTAGTTTTTAAAAATTTTATTATTATTATTATTATTATTTTGGTTTTTCAAGACAGGATTTCTCTGAGTAGCTTTGGAGTCTCTCCTGGCACTTGCTCTGTAGACCAGACTAACCTCAAACTCATAGAGATCTACTTGCCTCTGCCTCCCAAGTACTGGGATTAAAGCCGTGTGCCACCACTGCCCAACTAAAATTTATTACTATTACTACTATTATTATTATTACTATTATTTCTTGTTTTTGTTTTTCTAGACAGGGTTTCTCTGTGTAACAGTCCTGGCTTTCCTGTAACTCACTTTGTAGTCCAGACTGCCTTGAACTCACAGTGGCCCCTCTGCCTCTGTCTCCTGAGTGCTGGGATTAAAGGTGTGTGCCACCACTGCCCAGTCAAATTTAATTTTTTAGTACTTAAACTTTGTCATTGATGTGTTTGCATGGGGCATGCATGTCCCATGGCACATGACTGAGAGAAGACAACTCTGGAGTTGGTACTCTCCTAACTTTCCATGGGTTCAGGGGATTGAACTCCAGTCTGCAGGCCTTTACCCACCCAACCATCTTATGGCTCATTTTTATTTTAAAACTGAAGTTTTATTTGTTATTAATTTTTAATAAAAGAAACATATACACATATATGTATATATCTGAGATATTTGGGGGAGGAAATCAGCTTTGCCTTGCTATTTTTGCCTAGGATCTAACGTTTTAAAAAATCACTGATGTTTTTAACCTTACATCGTATTTCCTATTTTCTACTTTTATTTATCTCCTTAACTTGTTTAAGATAGTCAGATGCAGCAGAATGTCCTGTAGAACACTTGGCTTTATTTATTTATTTCAGGTGATAGACAACTTTATTCAGTGCATCAGACAACCTGTACTCTGAGGTTAGGAAGGTCCCTATGAGTAATGTTCAGTCCCAAGGACAAGTTGCACATGGCAGAAACACGTTCTATGGCAGAAACACGGTCTTCCTTGATGCATATGAATAAATAACAGTGGCCTGCTGATAACCTGAAGTTACTCATTTCTAACTAGCTACAACACCTGGGAGAGGCATACAAGCACATTTCAAGAATAATTCTTGAGTTTTTTTTGAAGGAACTGAGGTCGTAAGACTTTTGTCTTATTTTCCTGGAGTTTTCATTTTTCCCAAGCACTCAGAAATCTCACATGACTCTATTCTTGGACTGTGTTCAGACTCTGGCTTTACTTTGAACGCATGTGTTTAATGGTTGTGCCCTTCCCTTCCTTGAAGGATCTCTACATTGACCGCCCTTTACCCTATCTCATTGGGTCAAAGCTCTTCATGGAACAGGAAGATGTAGGGCTCGGAGAACTATCCAGTGAAGGTACTTTCTTGCCAATGTTTCTGTCATGTTTAACATCTTAACTTTTTGTGTTAAAGTAATTAAAACTTTACGTTAATGTTACAAGAGCAGTGGGTAGATCAGTAGATTCTCTCGAGTTTGCCAGCTCATGGTTTACTCTGTGTTTCCATTATCTATAGTCATAGTTCATCTGACCCTCCTTTACCCTAGTGTTCTCTGTGTATTTTCTAAGAGCAAGGACATTTTCTTAACATAACCACACTGTAAAGTCAATTTCAAGTAATTGTACTGTTATCCAGTCTTTGGTTATATTCAGATTTTGTCTCTTGTCCCATTTCTGTCCTTTACTACCCATGTCACCTTCTTTGGTCTAAGACTTAAAGCATTTAGTTGTTAAATTGCTCTAGTCAGCTTTTATTTTAATTTCATTTTATTTTTTTTTATTTTTTGTACGTGTGGTTGACCTATGGGAGTTCGTTTCATGTTCTAGCCTGTGATTTCCAGAGACTAAACTCCAATCATCAGGACTGGTGGCAATTGCCTTTACCTGTCATTGCTAGTCAGCTTTTAGTCTGATATAATTTCTTCATGTTTTTGTAACCATGATATCCTTGTAGAGTAAGGCCAAGTTATGTGTGGCTTTTTTTTTTTTTTTTTAATGCATGGAAGGTACTTTGAAATTGTGTAATTAACAAAGATACTTTCATTCACTAAGTGGCATTGGCTTTATTAAAGTCTCTTTGGTGCTACTGTGGTTGGAATCTGAGAAGGAGCTACAGGTATTTCTGGTGAATGGTGTTGACTTTTATACTTCTTTCTGACAGAAGGCTCTGTAGGCAGTGACCGGGGAAGTATTGTGGACAGTGAAGAAGAGAAAGAAGAGGAGGTAAGGACATCGTATGACCAGGTCATGGTGACAGGGAGCCTAGGCTGTGTGGTGCAGGCTAAGCATGTGACATACTCCAGTTTTCATAAAACTGAAGGGGCAGAATCTGAAGTATTTTCTTAGGGTTGAAATTCTTTTTTGTAAGTTTTACAGAGAGAAGTAAGGGAAACTGCTTTGATCTCTTTTACTGTTATCTACCTCTCCCCCTTTCAACCTAATTCCTTCACATCTCATTATATTTTGAGGAGAGAACATCTTAGACACTGTGGTACAGTCTGCCTGAAACTTAAGTGTTGGAATGTGTTCTCCTTGAATAATCCTAGAAAAAATAAAGAGCTGCAATGAACAACTTTTTATAAGAGGATGATGGTGATTATCATTGTGTGTGTGTGTGTGTGCACCTACACAAACAGTTTTAAAAGATTTATTATCACCAGTGTCATGATTACTACTGTTATCTGTGTGTGCATATGTGTGTTCGAGATCATGCACACATGTGAGTGCATGTGTGTGCTGATGCCTGTGGAGACCAGATGTCAGATCCCCTGGAACTGGAGCTGCCCGATGTAGGTGCTGAGACCCAAACTCTAGTCCCTTGCAAGATCAGCATAATCTCTTTACCACTGAGCCATCTCTTCAGCCCCTGAATAATTTTTAAAGCCCTCTAATCAAAGCATGTACTTCATGTTTGCTTGCTAGTGTCTTAAGGTCACAGAGTAAAATGTTTATCTAGGGTCTAGGGCCTTGAGTTGTTCCTTCAGACAATGAGTATGAGATCCTAAAAGGAGACCTTTTTGTGTGCCTGATTTTCATTTCTTAATTGTTCTCCCCCTGTCTCCTGCATTTCTTCCTTCAGCCCTGCAAGTAGAAATCCTAGCAATAGAAATAAACTTGCCTGTTACTTTGCTATAGATAATTAACTGCGGAGTCCTTTGTTTTTAGCTGTAGCTCTTTACCAAATCAGTGTAGCAAATGCTGATGTTCAATTCTTGAGCTTAATAAAGTACTTATCCTACTAGAGGGAACACAGAGATTGTAGTCCAAAATGTAAAACAACCTTAACCTACCTTCTGATGCAATTAAAAGAGCTTTCTTTAAATTTTAAGGGTTGGATTGGGAAATACAAATGATATAAATGAGTCATTAGAGCTATTTAAATGAAACATCAATATTCTGGCAGCTAGACAATTCTTGTAGTATTGCCAGTCATTCATCTTGTCTACTATTTATGGTGACTGGGTGTAAGAGCTTTCCCTCTGCCTCACACAGTCAGCTCACCTTAGAGACTGACTTGGTCTTTTCTGTGTTAATAGCAAAGCATTTTCGCCCACAGGAATCAGATGAAGATCTTGCCAGTCGTAGTGACAATGATCAAAACCAGGTAAAGCTCATGTATTGAATTGAATTACTTTTAAAGCTTTAATTGAAGCATAATGTGTATACTAAAATACTAAAATGGCTTTTCTTTCTGCTTGGCACACAGGATTGAGCCTAGGGTCTTAGATGTGCTTGGCCAGCTCTGTATTGTCTTTGTCTCCCAAGTCTCCTAAAATGACTTTTGAATGATATGTTGAAGCATTTTCATGCTCACTGCTAGTGTTGAGTTTGTTGTGTATTTAGGGTTGTCACCTCCTTTGGATATTACCTTTTCCAAATTTTGCTTCTTTTTATTAGCCCCTTTTAATCATCATTTCCTGTTCTTGTTGAGAGTAATTTACATTCCTCTAATAATGAATATTTTCAATATTCTAATTTCCTAATCTTGTATTCTTTATTTTTATTTTTTTTAATATGGCATGCTTCACAAATTTGCATGCCATCCTTGAACAGGGACTATGCTAATCTTCTCTGTATCATTCCAATTTTTAGTATATATGCTGCCAAATCAAGCCCAATCTTGTATTCTTATTAAAAAGTAAAGGCAGGCAAATCTCTGAGTTCGAGGCTAGCCTGGTCTATAGAGCAAGTTTCAGCTCATCCAGGGCTACACAGAGAAAATCTGCCTTGAAAAAACCAAAACCAAGGGGGAAAAAAAAGTAAATCCTTTCTTTTCTTTCTTTTTTTGGGGGTGGGGTTTGAAATAAATAGATTTCCTCTGTGTAGCCTTGGATGTCCTAGAGCTAGCTCTGTAGACCTGCTGGCCTTGAACTCACAGAGAAGTACCTGCCACTACTTGCTGGGATTAAATGTATGCACCACCACTGCTTGGCTAGTTTCTAATAAATAGTGTGGAATGTGTGTTCCAAGTGTGGTTCCTTTTTTTAAGGGGAAAGATTAAAGACTGATAGTGTCTCCTTTTTAGTTTGATGACTTGCATTTAGTAATCCTGTTTACATTCTCAGCACACTGCACGGATGAGTGATGAGGAAGAGGATGATGATGGTGACCTTTTTGCTGACTCTGAGAAGGAGGGGGATGATATTGAGGACTTTGAGGAAAATGCCAAGTCTGTAAGTATATTTATCCCTTGATAAGGTCTTAGAAGCAGTGTTTGTACATTGATCCTTAAGATGGCCATTTATATTTGTAGTCATCTCTTCTTACATCATATTTGTAATTTGTGTGTGTAGCCAGAAGCAAATGGTGGATGACTTCTTCAATCACAATCCCCCTTATTTAGAATCAGGGTCTCTCATTGAATTTAGGGCTTAGCAATTTGGATAAACTAGCTGGCCAACAGGTCCCAGGGATCCTCCTGTTTGTCTCCCCAGCTCTGAGTTTACAGGCACACATAGCCACTTCTAGCTTTTTGTATGAGTGCTAGGGGGTCTGAACTCTGGTTCTCATTCCATGCAGAAAGTATTGTATCGATTGAGCTATCTCTACTGCTCACGTATTTGTAATTGAATTGTTTGTTTTTAAAGATCTGCCTTATTTTTTAAGTGTGTTTTTGGTGTATCTTTGTGACTGTATTTGCACATGTGTGTGGGTTTCTGGGGAGACCAGAGAGGGTATAGGATTTCTCAGAGCTGGAGTGATAGGTTATGAGACACCTGACAGGTTCTGAGAACCAACCTTAGGGCCTCTGAAAGAGCTGTGAATACCGTCGCTCTTGTCCCTTGCTTTAAGTTTTATAAATAGCAGTACATGTCCCTGTGTCTCTATTTAATTATCGTATGAGTGCCAGTTTTCTTCTAATGCTAGGGATTATTTTTAAGACAGCTCATTAGGGATATATTCAGCTCCAGAATTTTGAGATCAGATACTCCTCCATCTCCTTCCATACATTCATGTTAGTTTTCTTACAGAGACTTTTCAAGTATTAAAAAAAAATAAAGATGCAAGATCATCTCCTTTTAAAGGAATACTGTTGTTTAGTTGAGCTCTGTAGGTCCATGTGTTCAAATTCATTGAGAAAAGTTCTGTTTTTGCATGTGTATTGACACACATAAATAAACCTTAAAAAAAGCAAAAAGCCCTGTTTTGTTTGTAGTTTGATTACTTTATGACTGTTGATATAATTTTGTTAGGTGTTCAGAAGTAAATTGTACTAATTTGTTAGTGGTTTGTTTGTTTGTTTGTTTGTTTATTTAGTTATTTATTTATTTGCCTGTAGAAAAGACCTACATCTTTTGCTGATGAGCTGGCAGCTCGGATCAAAGGAGATATCTCAAATCAGCTGAAAGAGGAACAGATAGGTAAGCTCTGAAGGCAGGGTAATGGGTGGTTGGTTGGTGGCATTCGGTAGTTTGCTTGTGCTAACTCATACACATGTTCTCTGTCTGTGTCTATGTGCCTTTCTTTTTGAGACTGGGTCTATGCTGGCCTCAAATATGCAATGCAGGCTAAGGGTGGTTTTAAATTCCCAAGCTTCTTGCCTTCTTTGAGTGCTGGAATCATAAACATAAGCCACCATACTCAAACATGGGGTTAACTAATTACTAAGACCTGATAGGCTTACATTTTAGTTCTTGACCTTTTGTCATTGTTTTCTTAGACTTCTCTATGGTTGTTGTTTTACATTTTATTCATTTAACCAGGGAGTGGTGCCATGTACATGACTTGATGTGTGTTCTGAGTTGGTTTTCTCCTCCCTCCTTCTGCTGAGATATGAACTTGAGTGTCCTACTCTTGGCCTGTGTCGTGAGGATGAAGACTCGAGCAGAGAATCAGTAGTTGTATAACAAGAATGTTGAATATTGTTGAAACTGCGAGAGTCTGATAGGTCTTATCCTCAGCAGATGGAAAACCTCAGAAGACAGTGAAGGAGAAGAAGGAAAAAAGAACACCTCCAGATGGTAAGCTCTTCACTCATTCAAAGACTTTGTGTAATGAAAAGTCTCAGTGCTGACAAGTAGGCTGTGTCTCCATCTGAGTTTTCTTAAAGCATCTGAAAACACGTTTAGAGTTCTCAAAGGCAAGTGTGAAGTAATGTTTGTGAGTATTTGGCTTGCTGGTCTAAAGTAGCCATTGCCTGTCTTTCTAGATTTTTTTTAGATGTGTAGGAACTATGGGTTGCTAAAGGTTTTTTTTTTTTTAGTAAAGATTGTGTATGACACTTCCATATTAAGTAGTGACATCTGTTCCCTTGCCACTGTATCCTTCTATAGGATTGCTTTTCCTTTCTCAGACTTACATGTGGCAATTGAGCTATATCTTTGCTTTCAACTAAATCAGCCTAAGAGATTGGCCTAAAGAATCACTGTTGTCAAAACAGACACCCACAGCTAAACACTGAGCTGAACTCCTGGAATCCAGTTGCAGAGAAGGAGGAGTGATGAGCAAAGGGGTCAAGACCAGGCTGGAGAAACTCACAGAAACTGCTGACCTAAAAAAGGGAGAGCTCATGTATCCCCTGGGATGCTGGGAAACAAGCATAGGACTGATAGCTGGGAAACCAGCATAGGACTGACCCAGACCCCCTGGGTGTCAGTTAGGAGGTCTGGGCAGTCTATGGGGCCTCTGGTAATGGATCAGTATTTATTCCTAGTGTACAAATAGACTTTGGGGGCCCATTCCACATAGAGGGACACTCCCTCAGTCTAGACACATGGGGGAGGGCCTAGGCCCTGCTCCAAATGATGTGACAGACTTTGAACACTCCCCATGGAAGGCCTCACCCTCCCTGGGGAGCAGAAAGGGGATGGGATTGGGAGTCCTTGGGGGGGGGGTGGCAGAAGAGTAGGGGAGGGAGAGGGAACTGGAATTGACATGTAAAACAAGATTGTTTCTAATTTAAATGAAGCAAAAAACAAAAGGAAAGAAGGAAGGAAGGAAGAAAGAAAGGAAGGTAACATTCTCTTCAGTCCTGTCTCAGAAAAATGGGGAGGGAGCATGGCAGAAATCCCACAGTGCTGCCTGACCAGAGAGGCAGCAAGCATTGACCTAGGGTTAAAAATTTTAATCCCATTACTCAACTATTTCCTTCAATGCCAAAAAGGTGTATGAGATAGGCAAACCAGATGTTGCCACTCCCAATTCAGAAAGAATTAAAAACCTCAGCAAGGTTATAGGCTTCATTTAAAAAAAAAAAAAAAAAAAAAAAAAAAAGGATCGCTGTTGACTCTAGATATTGCTCATTTGAGGATGTCAAATACTCCTTGTGAGCTGTGGCTTCATTAAAGTCCATGCCAACACTGCATAAGGGATAGAGACAACTCCAAGAATTTGAATTCTGCTGGACGGTGATGGTGCATGCCTTTAATCCCAGCACTTGGGAGGCAGAGGCAGGTGAATCTTAGTGAGTTTTGAGGCCAGCTTGGTCTACAAAACAAGTTCCAGGACAGCCAGGACTGTTACATAGAAAAACCTTGTCTCTAAATAAACAAATAAATAAATAAATAAATAAATAAAAATAAAAATTTTTGGCTTCCTAGCCCATCTCCCTCCCCACCCCCATCCTTGTGTATTTAAGGCAAAGTCTTGCTATATAGCCCAAGCTAGTTTGGAATTCCTATGAAGTCCAACCTGGGCTCCATCCCATCATGCCCACCCAGGCTGTTCTTGGACTTTGATTCCTCATATCTTAGCCTCCTGAATGCTGGAATTGTAGGCAATGTGGCACCACCTCGTGCACACCCATTTTAACAGGCCCTGTGCAACATTGCTTTCTGTCAGATGAAGAGGACATCTTGTTTCCACCCCCCAAGCTGACTGATGAAGACTTCTCACCCTTTGGCTCTAGAGGTGGTCTCTTCAGTGAAGGACAGGGACTTTTTGATGATGACGATGAGGTGAGGTGGGCGAATGAACAAAGCTCTTTGTGTCTGTGTCATTGTATATGTAAGGAAGAAATCCCTGTTTTTGTTTGAAAAAAAGTAGCTTCTTGTTAGTTACTCCTTTCACTTTTGGGAACATGTGTCGTTCAGAACCACAGAGTGAGAAATACTATTTAATCTGATGTCCTATTGTCCTTTGATGTAAGGAGAGGCTGTGAGAGTATCAATAGTGGATAATTTACTTGAGTTACCCATAAGTAATTCTTTTCCATCTTTTTATTTAATTCCTTATAGGCCCAAAGTAAGTTTTGCTGTAGTCTGAACTTTGCGGCCATTTCTTTGACAGGACAGTAAACACATAGCATCAAAAGTATGAAATACTTGTCAGAAATCTTCAAATTCAGCTTCATTTATCTCTGTATTTTAAAATATCCTATGCCTTCTCACAACCAGAGTGACCTCTTCAGAGAAGCCTCCCGGGATCGGCCAGCACAAGCCCCTGTTAGTGAAGGTAGGCTTGGGAATGACAGCTTTTTCCTTGTGTGCTGTCCTAGTTTGCTGTTTATTGCTGTGATAAATGCCATGACCAGAAGCAGCTTGGGGAGGAGAGGGTCTAGTTATCTCCGTAGCTTATAGTTCATCAAGAAGGGAAGTGAGGCCAGAACCTCGTGGAAGGCAGGGTCTGAAGCAGAGGCCATGGAGGAATGCTGCTTCTTGGCTTGCTTTCCAGC